CTCTCTAGCTCCCTCATCAATTCCTCCCACGCTCGCCTCCAGGACTTCTCCAGAGCCTCTCCCATCCTCTGGAACTCCCCTACCGCAGTATGTCCAGTCAGCCTCCACTCTTTCTGCCTTCAGGTGATCTTTGAAAACTCACTCAGGGAAACCTACCCCACCTTCACCTAAGAACTGTACTTGAATCACTTTCACCAGATCATCCCCCGCAGCTATCACCCTTTGTATCACCTCCCCCTTCCTTTAGATTGTAAGCTCCACGAGCAAAGCCCTCCTATTCCTTCTGTAATGAAATGTATTGTAATTGTACTGTCTCCCTTATATTGTAAAGCGCTGCGCAAGCTGTTGGAGCTATATAAATTCTGTATAAAATCCTGTATAATAACTAAAATCTAGTGGAATCAGTTGCCTTCAGAAGTCACCTAATTAGTAAATAGAGTCCACCTGTGTGTAATTTAATCTCAGTAATAATACAGCGGTTCTGTGAAGCCCTAAGAGGTTTGTTAGAGAACATTAGTGAACAACATCATGAAGGCCAAGGAATACACCAGACAGGTCAGGGATAAAGTCATAGAGAGTTTTAAAGCAGGGTTAGGTAATAAAAAAATATCCCAAGCTTTCAACATCTCACAGAGCACTGTTCAATCCATCATCCGAAAAATGGAATGGCACAACTGCAAACCGACCAAGACATGGCCGTCGTCCTAAATTGACATGCCAGGCAATGAGAACATTTATCAGAGAAGCAGCCAAGAGACCCATCTTAATTCTGGAGGAGCTGCAGAGAGCCACAGCTCAGGTGGGAAAATTGTCCACTGGACAACTATTAGTCATGCACTCCATAAATCTGGCCTTTATGGAAGAGTGGCAAGAAGAAAGCCATTGTTGAAAGAAAGCCATAATAAGTACTGTTTGCAGTTTGCGAGCCATGGGGCGGACACAGCAAACACATGGAAGAAGGTGCTCTGGTCAGATGAGACCGAAACTGAACTTTTTTGCCTAAGAGCAAAATGCTATGTGTGGCGGAAAACTAACACTGCACATCATCCTGAACACACATCCCCACTGTGAAACGTGGTGGTAGCATAATGATGTGGGGATGCTTTTCTTCGGCAGGGACAGAGAAGCTGGTCAGAGTTGATAGGAAGATGGATGGAGCCAAATACAGGGCAATCTTAGAAGAAAACCTGTTACAGTCTGCAGAAGACTTGAGACTGGGGTGGCGGTTCACTTTCCAGCAGGACAACAACCCTTAACCAATTCAATACCAGGCAATTTTACACCTTCCTGCCCAGGCCAGTTTTCAGGTTGCAAAAAAAATTTAAAAAATTAGTTTCACTATTTTTTTTTTTTACATATTGTCACCAGTGCAGTACAGCGTCATCATATAACTGGCATGGCGGTGATCAGGGACACTGACTGGTGACAGTATGGAAAAAAAAAAAAAATATATATATTTTTTATTATTTTTTATTACATTTTTTTTTTTTTTTTAAGATTTATTTTTCATATTTCACTATGACCAAAGTACTACAATGTTACCATAGTAACATTGTACTACTTTGGGGAAGTGATCAGTATTTTTTTTTTACACAATTTGCTTATATCAAAGAATTACTTTGCTATAAGCAAGCATTTACCTAAATTACATCGATTCATTCAGGGTTTTCTTTTTTTTTTTTTTTTGTGCTTAGCTGTGATTTGGCCACAGCTAATTACATGACATGTGCATGTGATTAGCTGTGACCATTTAGACACTATATACAATGGATGGCATGAATGAAGCCATCCATTGTATACAACTGTCATGTGACCTGCTGTGATTGGTCACAGCAGGTCACATGGTACCGGCAACAGGGGCTGATACCCAGATCTGTCATCGGCCGTGTCCGAGGTACACGGCCAGTGACAGATCGCGCCGCTGCGCGTCCACCTGGAACGCTGATGACATTTGCCGGTCGCTATTCGGCCATAGGGCGGGCGGCAAATGGTTAACATACAGCCAGAGCTACAATGGAATGGTTTAGATCAAAGCATATTCATGTGTTAGAATGGCCCAGTCAAAGTCCAGACCTAAATCAAATTGAGAATCTGTGGCAAGACTTGAAAATTGCTGTTCACAGACGCTCTCCATCCAATCTGACAGAGCTTGAGCTATTTTGCATGATGCACACCACACTTTTCAGATCTTTATTTGTAAAAAAAAAATTTCAAAAACCATGTATTATTTTCCTTCCACTTCACAATTACTTTGTGGCACTTTTTGGTCTATCACATAAAATCCCAATAAAATACATTTACATTTTTGGTTGTAACATGACAAAATGTGGAAAATTTCAAGGGGTATGAATACTTTTTCAAGGCACTGTACTCACGTTTATGGCTGCAGCATTAGTTTGATGCTACAGCTGTCCCCTGTCGGCTTTTAGCCCAAGAACTGAGCAATCCTGTGACTGCTGATAGTTCAGTTTTTGAGTCCGCTCTGCCTCTCCAGCGCTCACTGGAGCACCAGGCAAGAAAGGAGATGGGAGCAAATGGCTCAGGCTGTTTTGTCAGGATACACCCAGAGGCTGGAGTGGCTTGGTGACATCAGCCAGCTTTGGGCTTTAGCCTGCTGTCGGCTGATTCTAGGTCACAGGAGAGCACAAGTAAATACACCCCTGTGACCAACAAGAGAAGTACGCCCCAAAGAGCTCATTTAAATGCAATCTTTTGTCTGTGATGTTGGATCCAAGGCAAATAAATTATTGAATTAAGCTTAATGATGTAACAAAATTAGACTGAGCATATTTGGGAATTGGACAGATAAAAGGTTAACAAAAGGAAAACAATACTGATATGTGTAAAAGTATATTTATCGAGAGACCCAGTTTGACATAAACTGTCCTTTTATATGTTATGAGAATTATGATTAAAATGGAATTCCAGTCAAATACTAACTAAGCCTGAACCTACTTTCCACCCCAATTTTAAGCTTATTCTATCTACCCTGTGAAAGGAAAGATCTGTATACATATACAGTGGGGTAAAAAAGTATTTAGTCAGCCACCAATTGTGCAAGTTCTCCCACTTAAAAAGATGAGAGAGAGGCCTGTAATTGGCATCATAGGTAGACCTCAACTATGAGAGACAAAATGAGAAAACAAATCCAGACAATCACATTGGCTGATTTGGAAAGAATTTATTTGCAAATTATGGTGGAAAATAAGTATTTGGTCAATATCAAAAGTTCATCTCAATACTTTGTTATATATCCTTTGTTGGCAATGACAGAGGTCAAACGTTTCCTGTAAGTCTTCACAAGGTTGGCACACACTGTTGCTGGTATGTTGGCCCATTCCTCCATGCAGATCTTCTCTAGAGCAGTGATGTTTTGGGGCTGTCGCTGGGCAACACGGACTTTCAACTCCCTCCAAAGGTTTTCTATGGGGTTGAGATCTGCAGACTGGCTAGGCCACTCCAGGACCTTGAAATGCTTCTTACGAAGCCACTCCTTCGTTGCCCGGGTGGTATGTTTGGGATCATTGTCATGTTGGAAGACCCAGCCACGTTTCATCTTCAATGCCCTTGCTGATGGAAGGAGGTTTGCACTCAAAATCTCACGATACATGGCCCCATTTATTCTGTCCTGTACATGGATCAGTCGTCCTGGTCCCTTTGCGGAGAAACAGCCCCAAAACATGATGTTGCCACCCCCATGCTTCACAGTTGGTACGGTGTTCTTTGGATGCAACTCAGCATTCTCTCTCCTCCAAACACGACAAGTTGTGTTTCTACCAAACAGTTCTATTTTGGTTTCATCTGACCATATGACATTCTCCCAATTCTCTTCTGGATCATCCAAATGCTCTCTAGCAAACTTCAGACGGGCCCGGACATGTACTGGCTTAAGCAGGGGGACACGTCTGGCACTGCAGGATCTGAGTCCCTGGCGGCGTAGTGTGTTACTGATGGTAACCTTTGTTACGTTGGTCCCAGCTCTCTGCAGGTCATTCACTAGGTCCCCCCGTGTGGTCCTGGGACTTTTGCTCACCGTTCTTGTGATCATTTTGACCCCACGGGGTGAGATCTTGCGTGGAGCCCCAGATCGAGGGAGATTATCAGTGGTCTTGTATGTCTTCCGTTTTCTAATTATTGCTCCCACAGTTGATTTGTTCACACCAAGCTGCTTGCCTATTGCAGATTCAGTCTTCCCAGCCTCGTGCAGGTCTACAATTTTGTTTCTGGTGTCCTTCGACAGCTCTTTGGTCTTCACCATAGTGGAGTTTGGAGTGTGACTGTTTGAGGTTGTGGACAGGTGTCTTTGATACTGATAACAAGTTCAAACAGGTGCCATTGATACAGGTAATGAGTGCAGGACAGAGGAGCCTCTTAAAGAAGAATGTACAGGTCTCTGAGAGCCAGAAATCTTGCTTGTTTGTAGGTGACCAAATACTTATTTTCCACCATAATTTGCGAATAAATTCTTTCCAAATCAGCCAATGTGATTGTCTGGATTTGTTTTCTCATTTTGTCTCTCATAGTTGAGGTCTACCTATGATGCCAATTACAGGCCTCTCTCATCTTTTTAAGTGGGAGAACTTGCACAATTGGTGGCTGACTAAATACTTTTTTGCCCCACTGTATATCCTGAGGCCACTCCAGTCCAGTCACAGTTGGGTCTTAGCACCGGTTTCAGCATAGAGGAGGGACAGTTGACAACAGATGCCCCATGGTAGGCCAAAGGGTGATGTCATCGCCCAGACTCTGTAGCCTCTTTGTCTGCAATCTCTCCTCTTTACTGATGCTGGCTGCTGGAGAGATCATGTGATCGGACCAGACTGAATTGCCCTCAACATAGGTAAATATAGACATAATTGCTTTACAGGGTAGTTAGGAGGGTGGGAGTAGGTTTAGGATTAGTATTTGACTATACTTCCACTTTAGGTGTATCATCAACACCTGATCTTATTCTTCTATAGTAAAAGGAAACCTTTAGTAATAGAATTTTCACATTACAGATACAAGGTAACTTGCCAATGCAAAAGGAGTTTTGGATATATGTGACGGATGCTACCCTTCAGACGATGGCAGATACATCTGGAATCCCTAAAATTCTCTCAGTGTGTGTCTTGCCTTCTTGTGCAGTGGACACTAGGGTGCTAGAAGCCCTTTCCAAAAAGTTATCTTGCAAGATGTTTTTTAAAGATGCAGTAAAAGAGAACAGTAAGTTACCAGAGTACCAGAATATCTTCTCAAAACTGGAAAGTATAGATATGTTACCCTTGTATACGTGTATTGAAAAAAAAAAGATATATAAATTGATCTGCTGGTGCAGCCGGTGGTGCTCTTGCTATGGGATTGTTGCGGATTCCTTTATAAGTCAGGACTAATTTTGGGATTCAGAGTAAAGAGCATTTTGTAAAGACCTGTTTAAAAATGTAATTTAATTTAGACCATATATTGCCTATTGTCTTTGCTTTGCAGTATACTTTAGATTTATTTATTTTTTTAATTCTATGAAACTATGCTTTCATTTAGTTACATTAGTCAACAGCTACTTTTATAGGTGATTGTGCAGCACAAATTTTGTTTTAATTTTTTTTTTTTTTTTTTTGGCAGGCAGGATCATTTGTGTAGAACGCACAGTGCTTTCATTACAAAAGCCCCTTTTATCCCATGCTTCTGGTATTAATGAGCTGACTGGCCCTGTTGTACTGGACAAACTGGATTCTGCAACAGAGGCAAACTCCCTGCGCATTGTGACAGGTTGGTACTGGGAGAAAAATGACAGGCACATGTCATTAAGCACCGTCTTAATGTGAGTCAGATAAGGTCTGTGCAAAAATGCTGTTACTGAAGTGTCTGCAACATGTCAGTGCAAATTAGATTGCCTCTTTTAACTAAATGTATTATGTATTATTCCTAATATTTAATTACAAAATAATAGGTGTGTCATTTTCTAACAAGGTCAGTTCTAAAAATGTTAGTTTACATGAACAATGAATGTTCATATTTGAGTCAAAAGTTAGCAACAAAGGCTAGAAAGTTATTTTGCTGTATTTCAATCTCCCAGACTTATTTTCAGATGCTTGCAGAAGCTTCTGTCTTTGCCCTACTGGCTGGCATCTGTGTTTAATATTGTGTGAAACTTGCAATCAAGAACAGTTAGATAAATTGTTTCAGGGCATTGTTTATAGTGTGGTGCCAATTAGCATGGCTAATTACCACACTTAGAAATCCACATTGTTGCTTACAAAAAATCAGTTCCAATTTTCTTCATACAGTGTTAAGATACTGTGTTTTTGGTTTTATTAGACTGCTTAAAACTTAGGCAAGGGAGCTGCATTCTGGTATCTACTGTACGCTTTTAGCTTGTTCAGTCTGTAGGATGGAATGCTGAGGTAAGTATCCTTCTCCGGGTAACCCTAAACAGCTTAGGCTGGTTTTCATTGGTTTGCATAAGTCATAGTGCATTATAATTGGGAGCATGCTGGATACCACAGTATCTTCAAGATCACCAAAATACTAGACCTTAGGGCAGGGTGCTGAACCTTTTGAAGAGCAAGGCCAACTTAAGTGATTTGGTAACAGATCGCAGGCCACAATAAAATTAAATGGTTCAAAATGTACAATTTTTATTTTGAATAGCATGATGAATGTTTTCTCTCTTGCAGCCGCTGAATGCCAATGGGAGGGACAGGAGGAGAAGCCGACTGACTCTACACCAGTTGAGGAGGGGGTGGTAAAAATACATCTCAACTCTGGGGTTTTACTGCTCTCCATCTCCAGGCTGCTAAAAAGGTCCCCAGCATGGAGTGCACTTGGTATCACTCTGCCTCAGACAGGGGCCGGTGCTACAGAGGAAGCATTGGCTCCTGCTCCCTCTGCGGCTGCCTCCTTCCTCCACTACCGGCACCAGCTTAATGCACTCTGATGCTCTGGGATGGCAGATCGGCAAGCCCAGATGACAGTCAACGGGTTGCCAACCCCGGGCATGCACTTCCGTGCTTTGAGGTCGAGGGCCACATCAAAGGGTTCTGCAGTTCACAGGATGAGCACCCTTGCCTTAGGTGTTTGAGTAGTTCTGCAAGTGATCTGTCCAGAAGCTGTCCTTTTGTAGGCTGTATCCAAAAGTTCTCCTTTGTAGTTTAAAGTGGGGTACCCCCTTCCCCTAAAACTCACATCATCATGCATCCCTGTATGCCTAACTCATGCTGGTGCCACAATGCTTTGCAGCTGTGGCAATTATACCTCAGGCTGTAGAGTTTGACAGGTAGCACCACCTGTCAAACTCACATAATGAGATCAATGGGACCACAATGCAACCACGAGCCAAATGCCTGGCTTGCAGTTGCAGCATGGTCCTGCAATTCAGTATTGCTAATGTAGAAAAAAAAGGTATCAGGAGGCGGCAGTAATGCCTCCTGAATGCCTGCCAGCTGACGATGTACCTTCCTCTAAAATGTGATCCACATGTCTAGCTGCCATGTGGTAAGCCTGTTCCACCAAAAATGTGTATGGGAAAGCCTCTCGGTCAAACCTAGTGATTCGGAGGTGTTACAAATAGGCAGGCGGGTCAAGGCTCTCAACCCATTCAGTCATATTATTTAATAAATTGCTTGTGTGCCTACTGCTAAAAAGGTGATTGTCTGCTTATATACTATATAAAACCATGTCACTTTCCTAAATTGCTTGCAGCAAGTTAACATTTTGTAATTGTTTCCACAGGAATTATTAATGGAGTTAATGAGAGAGAATCTTTTTCTTGGCCAGTGTGTAACTTATGTGGAAGCAGTAAGCTACAGCCTTGGGATTCAGACAGGTAAATTATCTTAAGACCCCACGCATACAGACACTTAGTTCCCAATGCGCTGAGGCAAAAAATCCCTGCACATGCTGCATTCAGCCACCAATACAAGTGAATGGCTATAGATGGCTGTGCTAGGGTAAACACTGAAGGTATCGGCAACCTGCTTGCCTGAGTACAACATTGTACAGCCATTCACTTGTACTGGTGGCTGCACATAGCACATGCAGCTCCTTGGGCATGTCAAAAAAGGAGATCGTAGGATACTCTATTTCTGGCACATCAATAGTTACTTTTCTTCTGTACTTGTATCATTTTCAATGGTATAAAATTTACAAAAAATGCATGCATTTTTTTTTCATTCTGCCTTGACATACATTTAAAGATACCTGTCTCCAGATGTTTTATCTTGGTTTGATATTATTTTAAGAAGAGTACAGCACAAAGTGAGCCCATGCAAGGTGCAACAGCATATGACAAAATCATAAAGCAAATAATCAATAAAAACAGAGAAAACCTGAGGTGTAAATTCCCAAGAGAGGTTACAAAACAAACATATTCAGAGAACAGCTCAAAGGGATGCCATGGGCATTGTGCAGTAGGTCCACAACTGCGAAGAGCAGTGAGTAGAAGACTAAGAAGAGGAAGGTGTAATTATACAGAAAAAAGGCCTAAGACAAGGGGTAAGAAGAGGGATTGGAGACGGAAGGTGAAAATGGGTTCATCACCCACAGACCCAGTCCAAGGATTCAAATGAAAATTAATTACATGCACAGGCTAACAGGGTCTGTGTTGGCAGGGAGTAGTCACAGGTTTATTTCAACAAAGATTTTCCCATAAGGTTATATGTGCATATTTTATGCATATTCACATGTAAAATCCTCCCTTGTGTAGACATCCAAAAGCCTTGAGATTGCTGCTGGGTGCCACCATTTGGATGTGATGTCACTAGCCCAATCAGATTCAGAGCTATCACTTAAGTTGCATTCTTTAATAATCCCCTTTGCTCCTCTCTGGCAGCTACATAAAAACTAAATTTTTCTTTGCTTTTAACTGCATTTTTTGGTTGGTGACAGTATAACTGCAGGTTTAACTTCACTTTAAATAGTTTGTTTGAGCCAAGGTGGCCAAACTAAACTATTTCCATTACAGAAAGATCCAGCTGCTGTGTGCACTGTAAAATACTGTAGTAGCATTTGCTAAAGGCAGTACGTGGTGCTGGGTTGTGACAGCAGTACAGATGACTTCTCGTTTACTGCTGGAAAAGAGAGTCAGGCTTAGTCCTTCTCCACCACTCAGGAGAAAACGTGTATATTTATTGATGAATACAAGGCTTCCTCTGATTGTCTGAGGTGGACATCTGGGTGGCTGACGTCACAATTTCCACCTCTACTGCATCTATAGAGTAGCAACATAATCACCATTGGACAGCAGTAGTGTTAGATGGACTGGGATATTTAGATGAACTTTACATGAGTCACTTCCAAATTAAAGCCTAACTTCAGCTAAAACTTTTTAAACAGTTACAGAAGCAGAGTTTTTCTTTTGGGATAAAAGTTTAAAAAAATTAACAAAATATGACCATTATAAGCACCCCTGTCAGTATTAAATATTTTATCTCAACACTCAACTGCCACTTTTACTGGACATCTTGATTTTTTAAAGGAAGCTGAAAAAAAAAACAGATTTACTGGCAGGGTCAACAAGTACTAAAACTATGTTCTGTGAGGATTTAGAAAAAAGAAAAAACTTCTGTGTTAATGCTAGTGACAGATTTCATGATATATGGATAGAGTATGGAGAATTTTGGATAGAGTATGGATGGATTAAAACCCCTGTCATCTGTGTCCCATTGGGAAGATATGCCTTCACTTCCTGTCCCATAGTCAAAACAGGAAGTAAGAGGAAATCCCTGCAAATAAAGGGAATCCACTGGCCCCCCCAGGTCAGCAGAACTAGTTGTCTCCATTGGAAGATTTACCCTCTATTACCATTCTGGGAACAACCCAAAATTTGGGATTTTCTTTTACTTTTATTTTTGGTGATAATGGTTAACAGGGCTGATAGAGAGGGTGAATCCCCCTAACAGAAGCACAGTCAACAACAAAAACCTGACAGGTGTTTTAATCCCTCTCCACACTGTCCAAAAACATAAAATAGGTTTTGCCTTTAGCTAAACCTTCAGCATTTGTCCTGATTTCAAAACACAATTAGTAATACAGGATCTCAGTCTAGACCAGCCTTTCTCAATCTTTTTTTTTTACCCCAGAGGAACCCTTAAAATAATTTTTAGGTCTTGGGGGGAACTCCTTTTAAAAAAAATTCATCAGGTGTCCATGGGAAAATCTCGAATGCATTGGTGGTCAGTCAGTCAGTGGTGTCATTCTGCTGGCTCTGCCAAGTAGCGTTGGATCTGGAACAATGCAGGCATCAGATAGAAGGTTGATAAGCCACAACTCAAAGGACCCCTACACACCTCTGGAGGAACCCTGGGATTCCATGGGAACCCTGGTTGAGAATGTCTGGTCTAGACAATGGGTTATGCAGTTGCCTTCAGGTGTATGGACCGTGGTAAACAAAGTTGAAAGGACAGCCCCAGTATAACCCTTCCCATATCTATGACGTCTCAGTTTTGTGCCAGTGTTCTTAGGTGATGGACATATTTTCCACCACTTTTATTTCTGAAGATTCTGAAAGCATGTTTCTAGCTGCTACATGATACATAGTTACTGCAGCTCCCCTATTTGCAGCTTTCACTTCAATGTTCACTCCATGTCACTTCTGTGGTGCTTGAGATATGCTGACCAGAACACCAGTCCAGTGCTGATGAAGTTCTGTATATACCATTCAAGGATAAGTTCACCTTTTGGCTAAAAATAATAAATGCACATTTTTTTTGCAGGTAAAAAAATGTTCATTTATTATTTTTGTCCAAAGGAGCCTGTAAAGCATTGCACCAGCGATCAGTAGATTGCTGATGCCATGCAGGTCTCCTTCAGACCTGTCAGAATATCTGCTTGCTGACAAGAAGCTTCAATGAACTACCACGGCGCTCCACAGTGTCGTGGTAGTTCATTTGAAAACTACAAGCCCACAGCTGCTAAGACTGCCAGGACTTGTAGGCACTCATTCACAGAACACTGTGAATGAGTGATGCGGCCGTGTGGGCGGAAACAGGTGGAACATGTAACATTTTTCAAAGGTGAACTTATCCTTTTAGGCCATGTGGGCCTAAAAAACAGGTGCAACATGTAACATGTTCCAAAGGTGAACTTATCCTTTAAATGGTGTCCATGGTTGTTTTTATGGTTTGGTAAAGACCATGTAATGCTTTAAATCCCCCGTGGTTATTGCATACACTCCATAGGCTTGCCATTCATTCAGAGGCTGCATTTAGCCCAGTTTATTTGATAGCTCAGAGATCTAGCCCAGATTAATTGGACATATTTCCTAGATAGCATTGCTTGAAGTCCCTATACTTAATACTTCAGTGAAGTTATTGTAACATGCCTATATAACACCTGCAAATGCCTGTTATTTCACACAAGACCTGCTATCTGATTATCACAAGCAACACTTAGATCTGTGACACAGAGTGAGAAAGTTGGGCAATTTATGCTCACCCTTATACCTTTTTTATTATGAAGTGCATATTGAACATTTGTATTTACTGCATGACCTTTTGACTTTCAAATTCTGGGATATTGTGATTTATGTGATTAGATTTTAGTTATTTAATTTCGTGTTAGATTACAGTATATGCTTTTCTCCTCCAATTATGTTTTTTTTTTTTCTTTCCTTACATTTGGTGCCCTACAGGCACAAGTACTTCTGTCGCCATTGTGCTGCAGATGTAAGCTCCCCAGTTATCAGGATGCAGCTTGAAGTATATCTGCAATGTGAATTAACTCCAGATCATAAAGTAAGATTAAAGGTAAGCCTGATATTTGGCCTAATAAATCTTGATTAGCATCTGGGACCTCTGTGGACCAGAACTGAACCAGTTGTCCTAAATCTTTCTAATGTTGCAGCCTGCTTAAAGCATATTTATAGCCCCACGCTTTTTTTCTGTTTGTTTTGGATGGAATGGGGAAGGGTTAAAATCCATGTCAGTTTTGTATTCCCTGGGTGTGTCCCATTGGGGAGAATTCCCTTTATGTCCTGTTCTGAAGACACAACAGGAAGTGAGAGAAGATCTGTACAAATTTAGTGGGATTGTCTCAGAGACAAATGATCCATTGGAATATTCACCCCCACCTCCTGTTCTGGTGACAACTGTAATAACTTGGTTTCAAATCAGTTTATGCACCAGTGATATTGGTGATCAAGACAAAGGGAGAGTATAAATCTATGAAGCAATAAAAACATGACAGAAGATCTAACTCTTCACTGTTCAAAACTGAAAATGTTTAGACTACACATACACTTTAACTATTGTGTTAAAGGTGTAAAAACTCCCTTTCCCCAGTGTTCTTTAAAAGCACAGCTAGTCATTATAAGAATCCCAGAACTTTTAAAAGCACAGCTATCATACATTCATTATAATAAACCCAGAACTTCAGTATATAGGGTAAATCTGCTTATTTCCCTCTGCTTCCAATGCAGTTCTCAGTCCCTGAGTGAGCTATTGCTGGTTGGGCATGTATGAAAATACTGACATTAACAAAGTCATAGAATCTTATGGGGGTTGGATTAGTGGATTAGGAGAACCTAGAAGGGAATATAAAGTTATAGTGTATCACAAGAGTGTGCTCATCTACAGCTACAGGCTTATTTTGTTTTTCATGCACATTTGATAAGTGTGCGTTAAACTACAGTCATGTATAACAATACTGTTATATTTCACATATAGAATGGTATTTGTAAATCCAACTGATCATTGACTTGGTGACCATAGATTGATAGCATCTATGATTGTTGTCTATGGATTGATATTTACAAGCCATTTTTATGAGCCGTGGAGTGCTAGTAAACTAAACCCATAACAGTAAAATCAGTATGTATATGCAGTAAAGCATGCTTGTTATACATAGGAGTTAATCCTCTACATTGTGTGAAAAAGGCTGTTTGATCCTGTCTTCTCTGAATCTCCAATTCTTTGACTTTCCCCAATCCATCTACTGATAGCACAGAACCAGAGCTGGGAAAAGGGGTGGGCAGGATGGGGTGGCTGCCCTGGGAGCACCAGTGCACCACCCTGATACAAGGCATTTTTCCAAGTGGATGACTACTGGGGATAGCATTCCCTAAGCTTGCACATAATCGGGGGGGGGGGGGGGACAACACAGTTTGGCTTCTTTGCCCTGGAAGCTGGATGACCTCATCCCAGCACTGCACAGAGCCCTTGAAGTCACTCTGCACATGCTCAGTTTGGGGTGTATTGCTAGAGAGTTGTTTTTTCTTTGGGAGGGTGCATATGATCGGCACAGGGCCAATCAGCAGTGTCCATAGGGTCAGGGGTGATGCAGACTCATATAGGATAGTGAGAGTTGAATGAAAACTCCTCATACAAGCGTTAACCAGTGCTCAGCCGGACACTGATAAAAGTCACAAGATTGCTATGTACTGCTGATGTGAATAGGTATTTAGCAGTTTATATTTGCTAAAATAATTGTTCTGTGTAATGTGGGACACCAGACATAGTGAATGCAGGGTCATGGGTTAAATAACACATTAACCCCTTCATGTCGACGTAACACAAATATGCGGCCTCACAGAACTGGGCATTTTTCCGTGGGGCCGCATATTTGCATACCTGTCTTTGTGCTGGGAGCACTCCACAGGGCGCGCTCCCAGCACAAAGAGTGTGCAGTGTCACTGAGAGCCTTGGGTCCCATTCTAACGATCAGGACCCAGGATTCCCGATTCCGGGTCACATGACCGCTGTGATAGCCTCTGATTGGCTATCCCAGTGATCAGTCATTGCACAGCCCGGCCCCCTTGTTTTTTCTCTCTCTAACTCCTGGCATAGAGGGGAAAAAAATATTTGTAAAAAAAAAAAAAAGATATTTAAAAATAAAATAAAAAAAAAAAACCTAGATCAAGGTTTGATCTAGTTCAGTGCCAGGGTTAGTGTTTGGGTCAAAGTCAAAAGGTCAGGGTCAAAGGTCAGGATTTTTAAAACAATTAATGTCAGTGTGTTTTAGGTAAAAAAAAACAAAATGCGACACTATTGTTTCTGGGCTGTGTTGCGAACGTGCGCACCAGAGGCAGGACGCAGCCTCCATTTTGTTAAGAATCTCCATTTTTCTCCCCCCATTCTTTCCCCCCTCCCTCTCTGAGAGGCACAGTGACATATGGCAGTGTGTGTGTGTGTGTGTTAAGTGTGTCACAGGCAGAGCACAGCAGGGAACCCCAGAGCTATAAAACATTTCTGAGCAAAATTCCGGGTTGTCTACCAGAGCTGTACAATTTAGCACCTCGTATAAGATAAGGCAAGCTTTCCCAGGAATTCAAGGCATTCCAACGAAGCACGAATCAGATAAACACTTTTCAAAATCCATTTTCCCCTATGTCTCATTTCTTGGAATATGAGAGACTTACATAAAAATCAGACATATCGTCAGATTGGCTAAGAGGAGACGAACAATTTGATGGGTCACTCTCCTTGTCTCGAATACATAGGAAAGCAGAAAAGTAAATCTCGGGAACCATTCAGTGTAGAATTTCATAATTCATATCTAATCATTCCCCAGACGTGTCTGCATAATAATCTACCCGTGGGTGGAATGTCACTCGTGCATAGGAAAAGTTAGCAAAATATGAGTTACGAGAGATTCTGGCTGTAGTTGAGGTATCCGCCCGACGACCTCTCCCTAAACGGGTCATTGGTCCATGGCTTTAGAGGCACCCCCTGCTGGGGGACTACAAAATGGGCTGTAAGGCCTAAGAGAGTTAAGTTGAAGAATTCTCCCATTTAACATTAATACCACCTGGGGAGACCCGTACCCTTTTGTTCTGAAACTTGATCTGCTAACCCAGGACTTTGGCAAGCACTTTAACCCTTTAAACTCTCTGTTATCTCTTTGCTGTGCTGTTGTTCTCTGTATATTTATATATATATATATTACATCTTTTTCTGTAAATATTTTTATTGCGCCCCTTTTTGACTTTTTCAGTGATAAATCTTCCCTTCTGAAACTGTTGAACTGTTTCTATAGCTCTTAATTGCAATTTACGAATTCCTGCCTCTAAAGAGAACGCTACTGTGTTTGTTTAACCCTCTGTATAACTGGCCTGCGGTGACCGTGTTATCCAGACGACTACCTCAACCCTTATAGTGTTATTGCGGATATTGCCGAGTTTCCTCTTTCTCTGTACTAAAAGGAGGTGGTGGCAGTGTGAAGGGTTAATTGCGTAATTAACCTGACCCAGTAACAATCGCTCAGGTTGCATCGATTGTGGTCCAATTAGCTGGAAAATCGTTGTGCAGGTTGCAGCTGGGTTTGGCATTGTTACGCACGTGACATCGCGGTTTTAGATTGGCTAGTCCTTCGGTCACGAGTTTGGTGAGAAGGACTGGGGTCTGACACCGCGGTCGTCGCATATTGGTGACAGCGATCGTGGGATCGTCGCATATTGGTGGCAGCGGTCCCGCGTCCGTCACAGGCTGTACTATGAGTACAAACAACAAATAACAAACACATTCAGTACATGGTATTGCTGTGATCGTCAAGAGCTGGAGAATTTATTTGGGGTTTTTCTTTGGTGGTAGGTTATGGTAGTAAAAAGAAACACACAGCTAAATGAAAAAAAAATATTTTTTTTTTTTTACTATTTTGGGCCAGTTTTACTTTTGATAATAAAGAAAAATCATGAGATAGCCAATAAAACTTACCACCAAATGAAAGCCCAATTTGTCCTGAAAAAAACAAGGTATAATTCACCTGGATGCACAAAGTAGTTGAGATCATATGTACAGTTTTACGAACACATGTCAATGTTGCAAAATTGTACTTAGGCATTTAGATTTGTTTTACCCTTAGGCATGAAGGGGTTAAGAACAGGTAAAATCCATACAACAGTTTGGTTTACCACTGTATAAGATGAAAGTATTTATTACACTGTTCATTACTTTTTTCATTATCATGTTGTTTCATGCATTCTCATTTCCTCACAGCTGCAGCAGAATACCATTTCTTCTATTCTGAGTTCTTGCTCCAGTGAAGATGGGGTATGTTTTATGCAAGTATTCTCATCAAATCGGAAATGACAAATGAATGTGCTATCCACTGGTCAGTCTACTGCTAAAGATTGTTTCTTTAGAAGGTTGAGCTGCCAGGATGATGTCAGCATTTGTTCTTACCATGACCAACTTCTGACTCTTCTGAAGTTAGGAAGGCAATGCAGTTAGTATTTTTTTTAAGATACCTGTCAGGATAAGTACTCCATTGTCATCTTGGAACATGCATGCAAAGAGTGGTACATTAACTGGCTGCATCCTGTTTTCCGTTATAACGTATTTTGAAATCCTGAAAACTGACTGAATTCACTAAGGGTCAAGATGGAGTAATGATAAGGAAGGATGATGGCCCTGGGACATGCACTTTTAAAGTAAACCAACACAATAATCTTGCAATAGTGCAAAAGATAAAACTATATATGACAGCAGCTAATTTAATTTTCAAAAGGATCCCCCAAGAATGCCAAACTAGCAATATTTGTAAAAATAAATAGCGCTCACCTTAACCTAAATATAGTATCTCCTTAATAGTCAACGCTTTCGTGATGGGAAATGTATTGAATGGGGAGTATCACTCTTCAGTATAACACCCATATCTTCTAAATAGTGAATTGTTCCACAAAGCAGATCTAAGGAGTAGCTCAAATATACATATGTTGTAGCAATTAAAAATTGGCGTTCAGGTAAATGCATTAATACCTCATAGGTTTGTGCACATAAATAAGCGGATATAGATTTGCCTACAGCTCTCTGTAGGAGCAGTCAATAGTAAGGTTCAAAGAAATAAAAAATTTGGGGCCCCAGCTGGAGGCCTCGAAACACAAGCAGCAGTGTACCTATATTATTGGCGCGCATGTGCCAGAGATATCACTGGGTTTCTATGATACTACGCAACCACCAGCTGTTATGTTTCTTTCCTAATATGTTCCATTTTAAGGCTAAATTAATATTTTTCCAGAAAATAGCAAGGGGCCCCAATAAGTATAAAAACACTGTACAGTTTTGTAAAATGTTAATTTTATCATCTTACCTTCCAGGTAGCTATCCCCATGGCCTGCCTTGTTGATAGGATGTGGAAACTTTGGCTTTCCCTCTTGAAATGATGGGATTGCTAACTGGGAGTTTTTCAGCCAGGCTTCTGGAAGAACATTTTGGGGGAGGGGGGTGTTCTACAGGTATGACAATAAAATGCATATCTAAATTAAAAAATATATATATTCAAGCTCACCAATCTTTAGCTGATGTTGCTGTGTATTTTGCCTTTTTCTGGCTTCTTTCATTTATTTCAACCTTATATTTCTGTCATTATCACATTTCCTGTACTAGGGTGACAACGTTCACTTCCTATACTCTGTCAATATAAGGGCATCAATGTCACCTTAGACTGGTCGCTCCTCATCTTTATAAAGCTGAGGGAGGTGTTCTGTACGGCATACAGGGTAGAAATAGGCATGGCTGAACACCACTTAAAATTTTATTGCATCAAAGGCAGAGTGCACAGAAAGGTGCAAGCTCACTATATTTTTTGGCATGGTCAACCAGTATTTTCTGTACTTGCAGTATTTTGAAATGCACATGTACTGCAGAGATGTACTGAATGTTTTTTTTTTTTTTTTTATGTCCAGACATACACATTATGGGATCATTTACATGGATGCAGAGGCCCGTAAAGTGTGAATAGCCGTTTATGTGTGTGCAGGCAGCCTGTGTTAGTCAATCGAGACACAGTGGTTGTACCGATTCACCCACACATGTTAGCGGGACAGGTCAGCAGGGACCGGAGCACAGAGCAGCTCCATGCTGCTCCTGACGCATAAAGAACTGGCTCTTCATGATAAAAAGGCCTATGCTCCCATGTGAATGAGTCCTACATTTTTTTGTATTACAGATTTCTCACAACTTGTAGATAATGTGTAGGCAACAAGACTATCAATTAGCAGTACTAGGCTATTTGATTGTTATGGAGTTGAGCACAAAATTTGGTATATACCAGTTAAAAGGTATGCCTGTCATGGCACTGTTTACTGGGTCTTACAATTTGAATGCAATTGGAAGTAGTACTATTACAATTGCAGCCACTGTAGGACCCAGTACAAAAAGAAGCCTGTGTGTTTTGTTTCTGCTGCCATAAACAGTGTACTTTGGATTTTTCCTAAAGAGTACATTCAGAAATGGGTTGATAGTGCGGAAAAAGGCTGAATTGGACTCCGCAATGACTCTGTTCTCTGATAGAACAGGCAGTTGGGTAGTTTATAAAGCCTGCCCTGATATGTTGTTTTCCACAGTAACATCAGTCTCATTGGTCTCCTCTACCTCCTATAGCTGTCATGTTTGGGACAGCGGCTGCTGATCCTTTTGTCCAACGGTTTGTGCATGAATGTATAACTAGCCTAGTATACCTATGGATGGTCTTAATTGTGGACAACTGATGTGATAGTGAATTCATGGTGAAAGAGAGAGATCAAACAAACTATTAGAAGTAATACAAAGCTGTATAATTGTAAAACCAGTGTCTAGCTTTCTGATTTGGTTACTGCTTAAATCTCAGTGGATAGGGCTTTAAGGCTGGATGGGTGGGCAGATGTCTAAAAGCAATAGATGGTGAAATATCTGCCCACTCAATATTGCATTGATGGGGACACATAACTCATTATGATCTTCTATCATATGAAGTGTGGATGCAGTACATGTACTGTGAGCAAAATGTAATGAGCTACACCCAATTCTGCCGTGATTTTCCAACACTAAGGCCATATTGTTGTAAGCAATGCTTGTTTGTCCATAATCTCTTGCAGCTATCTGACATTGTATAGCTCTGAGATCATTTGTAAGAACCATATCACCCCACAAGGCACAGTACATGGAAAAGGGTTATCTAATGCAATCATGAGTAATGTACAAGGTACCTGCATAACCTTTGCTAGTACTAACCCTCATTCATTGATAAGGAGCACTGTGTAATTGCAATGGAAATAAAATAGAGTTATCAACACCAGACATTGTACAATAATCCTGCATTTGAGCTCAGACATTTGCCTCACCTGTGCTCAACTGTCTGGGCTGTAAAAGGCAATAAAGAGGGAGAGGACCTTGCTGCATGATTTTTATCTGAACTATGTACTTGTTTGAACAAAATGTACAGTTCTGTTTGCTGAGTACACATAACTTTTTATCTACAGCGCTATGAGGTGAGTGTCGTCCTGGGGAGGCAGGTGGGGCCTGTGCCCTGCTACATCCAGCATGTGAACAGAAGCGTGGCCCTGGAGGAGATCTGCCTTCTGCAAGCAGGAACTCCTGAGCGTCAAGGGCGTCTGGACTTTCCTGTATAGTTATTGGTTAACCTATTGAACACAATTTATACTGAAATTGTGTTTTAATGAATGCACTAAACTAGGCAGGAACAAATGGCAACAGCCAAAGAGCTAGAAGCGTCAGTAAATCATCACGTTACTAGTGCCTTCAGTAGAGCCTCCCCTTCTCTATGTAAATAACAGGGACAAGTTTTAATAAAAACCTTTTTTGTAAAAGCTGTCATTTGTGTCTTACTTTTTGCTGCAAAACCACTGCTTGCAATATATATTTACAAAGAATATGAGTTAAATGTACCCTCATCTGGGTCAGTTTTCTGTCTGTATGACATCATGTAGTGTGTTCACTCCCCTAATTCAAGTATAGAGTTCTCATGTATGCCAGAGGGTATGCTGTAAATTTGTACAAATACCCATAATAGAGAAATAATAGCTGGAATATAGCTTGTTATAGGCAATACAACTAACCACCCACAGGACTTAAAGGTTACAGTGGATATTAGAGGATGACTTAAATTGATATATTAGAGCTTGTTTACACCATAATATGTGTGGTTTAAACACATGCATTGTCTCCACTGTATTAAAGCAGCCAGTTCATTTTAAATGGGCCCAAACATTCCTCAATGCTTGTAAAGTGGCTGCAATATGCAGAGCATTCACATCTGTGTGCTGTGGTGTAGAAACTTTTTTTTTTTTTTGCAAACTACATCAAGGTGTCATTAAAAATAAATGGCGGTGCCAATTTGCTATGTTACCATGTGGAGTTATTGCATGCACGGTTGTGTGAATGAGCCCTTAACCATCATGTCAAACTCAAAATTTTCCTGGTAAGTCACACCAGGTATTTTTTTCATGGTAGGTGTGTAGAAATTGGATTCATAGATGAGGCATGTGTGTCTATCGCTCCAACTTCATCCCCTACTGAAATTAAAAACAAAAGGAATGTTTCATATCATAACATCTATACAACCTTGAAGGGCCTGTGTTGGTCAGTTTACCCATGTGTCACACATCTTACCCAATGTTTTAAATGGACACATTTTGTTCTTCAGGCTGAGTTCATACCTGAAATGTATGCGCTACATCAAGAATGAAGTTGAGTTCAATGGGAAAGTGCAGGTTAGTGACCCTGAATTGGCCCCCCCTTATCATACCATTGTGAACAAGGCCCATGGAAAATTTATACTAGTGTGAACAAGGCCCATGGAAACCAGTGCATTTCTTTGCAGTGTAAACCAGCCCTTCCCATGAAAAATTACTGTACACCTGTTAGTAGCTCTCAGGTGCTAATGACCTGATACAGCCTTTTCAAGTTATTCATTAACTAGAATTGTGATATGAAATCTATGAGAAGACAGTTACTTAGTTTGATTGTCTAGATTATAGTTTCACAGTCCACATCATGCATGGCCTTATGGAATTTAAGACTAGGTAAACCAATATTGACACCATTTAACTCATTCCACCCCATACAACAAAGCACTGGAGACATAATTGTGTATTTTTCCATTTTATTATTATTAAAAATGCTGTAAAAATGATCATATAAAAACTTGAGCATGCTCATTTTCTTTCCCTAATATCTACAATACAAAGTATTTTTTTCTCTGTAATCATTTTACAAATGTACCATAGCTGCATCCATACAGAATATAGAAAACTAAAAATTACAAAAATAATTTAAGGAAAGGGAAATGTTTTAGCTTTGTCTTATAGTTTTGTGGAGAAGAAAAAAATATATTTATAGTTCTATAATTCCAGGGGGTAGCACTATTCACCTGGCTACACATTCAACAAAGGAAACTGAAGACCAGCACAATTTCTGTTTGGCACTGCCCAAAATGTGCCTCCCCCTACCCCATATACAGTACTCTCAGCTTACAAAGGCCGCTTGTGCAAGGCACTAACAGAACATATCAAATGCTTCTGCTAGTGTGAATGGCTCCACTTGGGCACTAGCAGGACAACACGAGACAAAAAAAAAAAAAAAAAAAAATCTCACATACAGAAAGAACAAGTAAAAACTAGGCAGTAGAAAAGAAACAGGCACTTAAATGGCAGATATCGGACAACAGTTAGCAGAAATGATCCACAGTTGTCCTAAAACGCTTACATCGAACTTAGCTCTAAAGTGTTTACACAATTAGCGTTCAGTCCGTACCTCCCGCTTTATTTGCATGAAATGTGAGGCTGTAGCCCTGGTACTCTATAGAATATATATTAAAAATAAAACAATAATAATCAGGTGCAGCAGCTTCACACCCATCATGTCATGCCTATTAGGGTGTCAGGTGCACTGCCCCTTTAAGAGTAGGTGACCCAAGTCTTTGGCACAATGTTACAGCTCCCCCCCACGTCCCTTTGCTATAGAAGTCTTATTATTGCACTAGGCTGATGATGCTGGACAAGGCTCAGTGTGGAGAGGGGGGAGTTGGGGGTAGCACACGGTCCAGGGAGGTGCTGCCTGCTGACACTGATTGGAAGGGCACACAGATCAGGCAGGTGATGGGGTAGCACACAGTCCAGGTAGTTGCTACTTGATGACACTGAGTCAGAGGGCACACAGTCCAGGTAGTTGCTACCTGAGGACACCGAGTCAGAGAGCACATAGTCCAGGTAGGTGCTATTAGAGGGCACACAGTCCAGGTAGATGCTGCCTGCTGACACTGCTTGGGAAGGTCTCCCCTCTCTCTCCGGGATGAGGTATTCTCTATAGTCCGTGTAGAACGGGCTGACAAACAAACAGCCGGTTACCGGCAGTCGCCGAGGCTGGACAGGAAGGAGCCGGTGGTGGCGGCAGGGGGCAGCTGTTTGAAGAAATGCCTGAGGCTGGTTAAGTCCCTGGTGAGCATGTCGATCCTCTTGTGCAGCTTCTCGTTCTCTGAGGAAAGTTCCAGCAGTTTCTGCTGCATGTCTATGTTGCGTTTCTTGGCCTTGTCCCGGCTCTTCCTCACCGCGATGTTGTTGCGCTCCCTCCTCTGCCGGTACTCCGGGCTGAAACGGTCGACAGACTTCTTGGAGGAGCGCTCCTTGGCGGAGGAGGAGGCCGGGGACGGGCAGGCGGAGCTGGTGGCGGAGCAGGGCTCCGGGGAGGTGGGCGGGGTGGGCTGTAGGCTCATGCTGGTCTGGGCACAGGTGGCGATCTGGCAGGGCAGGGAGGAGGACACGTCGCTGTCGCTCCAGTCAGGCTCCTGTTTCATCGTCTTGTAGTGCTGGGAGCCGGCGGCCAGGAGCCCGCTCAGGTAGTCTGCCCCGCTCTCCGCCCGCTCGCCGTTCTTGCTGTTGAACAGGTCGGCGAAGAGCTCGTCGTTGCAGAGCTCCAGGTTGGGGACGGAGGACATGGAGTCGATGTACGAGCTGAAGTCGATGGCGCTCTCGTCGTCGTAGATGGCCGGGGCTGCGCTGAGCTCTGCCAGGGTGCCGCTGCCGCCGGCCGGGGGCTCGCTGTCCTCACACATGGCCCGGGGCTTGCAGTGGCTCGGGGAGGCGCTCAGTCGCTGATCGTAGAAGTTGGTGGGCTCCATACACCAGGCGGCATAGGGGGACACACAGCGGCTGTCCAGACTCATGGACGGAGCGCTCATGTGACTGATCGGAGAGAAGCGCTGAGTACTGCTGCCGGGATCCCTGTACGGATGAGCGCAAGAGCGAGCTGTCAGTGAGTTCTGAGAGCCGGGTGTGCTGAGGGCTCCCTATATACTGCCCGGCATCCCTGCCCCTCCGTGATGTCAAATCAGGAGGCGGGGCCACGAGCAGCGTGCTTCACCTACACACTACATTAACCCCTTCCCAGTCTGCCGGGACACACTGCCCTGTCTACTCCAGTGTACGAGTCTGTGTACAACCCGACCCGACAGTGCTGTCTGCTACCCGTGCCAGGAATATAATGTATGGGGGGGGGGGTTGTAGAGATGACAGCCTGGAATATAATGTATGGGGGTGTAGAGGTGACAGCCAGGAATATAATGTATGGGGGTGTAGAGGTGACAGCCAGGAATATAATGTATGGGGGGGGGGGTGTAGAGGTGACAGCCAGGAATATAATGTATGGGGGGGGTGTAGAGGTGACAGCAATGGATATAATGTATAGGGGTGTAGAGGTGACAGCCAGTAATATAATGTGTAGGGGTGACAGCCAGGAATATAATGTATGGGGGGTGTAGAGGTGACAGCAATGGATATAATGTATGGGGGGGTGTAGTGGGGACAGCCAGGAATATAATATATGGGGGGTGTAGAGGTGAAAGCCAGGAATATAATGTATGGGGGGGGGGGGGTTGTAGAGATGACAGCCTGGAATATAATGTATGGGGGGGGGGGGGGGTGTAGAGGTGACAGCCAGGAATATAATGTGTAGGGGTGACAGCCAGGAATATAATGTATGGGGGGGGGGGGGGTGTAGAGGTGACAGCAATGGATATAATGTATAGGGGGTGTAGAGGTGACAGCCAGTAATATAATGTGTAGGGGTGACAGCCAGGAATATAATGTATGGGGGGTGTAGGGGTGACAGCCAGGAATATAATGTGTAGGGGTGACAGCCAGGAATATAATGTATGGGGGGGTGTAGAGGTGACAGCCAGGAATATAATGTGTAGGGGTGACAGCCAGGAATATAATGTATGGGGGGTGTAGAGGTGACAGCCAGGAATATAATGTGTAGGAATATAATGTAGTAGGGGTGACAGCCAGGAATATAATGTATGGGGGGTGTAGAGGTGACAGCAGTGTAGAGGTGGCAGATCGTGGTGAGAGCACTTTGCTGGAGGCTGGTCTTCTGCTGGGATCTGGAAGAATGGAAAGTGTTTGTTTTTCTCTCATAGAGAACAGTCAGGGCAGACAGAAGCAGTCTCAAAATTTTTTCAGAATCATTTTGTTCCCGGACCCCTCAGCAAAGTCTCATTGAAATATTTATAGATGGTACTAGGAATAAAAATGAGATATGTTTGCAGAAGTTTTTTTAATATAAAGGACCAGTAGAAGAACTTGAATGAAAGACCACTTATTAATATATAAACTACATGAATTTAGTACCTGAGTGGATTTATATACTTGTCATTGCTGTAATTTTGTTGTGTACTCTGTTTCAGAGCAGCTTCTATTTTTTGGCTAAAGTACATTTGGTTGTAATTCTCTATGGAATTGCTAAATAGGAAGGCATCTATGTCCTCCCCATTATAACACCTGGATTTAAAGCAGCATTACACCCAAAATCAAACATTGATTATATTGCATTTCTTTGTTTACACATTTATTTTAACCTAGTGATCCAGCCAGTAAGTCTGTTGTTTTTTTTACAGCACAATCTCTTCTGCAGATGTAGCAGTTACAAGGTTGAGACAAACAATTTACTACAGCTGGGTGCTTACAATGAACAGCATTTATTTATGTAAAACCCTTATCCCAAAAGGAAAAACTGTTTGCTGTAACTGCTAATAAAGTGTGAGCTGGAGTTTGGCTTCAATTTGTTCGTGTATTAGTACATCTAATACCCCTTCCCCCCCTGACTGACAATGCTGCTGTCCAAAGGTGCCTCCTGTGCATCTTCAGAGGGCACTCTAATACAGGAGGTGTGTAATTGGCCAGATCAACAGGTGGATAAGAGAGTGAAAAAATCTTTAAAAAGGAAAAACTAATGCAGCCAACGCATCTAATTTGCAATATGTTAAAGTTTTGGTTTTGGATTCAATACCACTTTATTGGGAACTTTAAAAATGTACACGTGAAAACGAACCTGTTATTTTGTTGAGTGTCTATTTTGGTCAATATAGTACGTTGCATAGCAGTAGCATGAATACAAATATAAAATCGTTTTGTTAAAATGTCTTGAGTGCAGAAGTATTAACCTTTCCCCCGTGAATGCCCCAAATAATCTTTGGCACAAAAAGCTATCCTCAGTAGTCACGTTGTGGGTTGAACAGAGTTCACCTGTGCACAATATCATTTCTAAGCAAATGGCATAATAACTATCAAGGACCTCTCAAATCAAGTCTCAGTAAAAGTTTTAAAAAATTGCCAATGAAGGTTAGGTTGTATATAAAAAATAGTTCCTAACTATGAGCACTGATAAATCTATATTTAAAAGGTGGAAAGGATGTGGCACAACCCCAATTTTGCATTGAAAAGGCTATCTGATACAACTCCTAGATCATTGAAGGAGCTGAAATGACAGCAAACAAGCCAAGAGGCCAGCTCTGAGAGAGGTGAAGCTTGGGGCATCCTGTTGTGGAAATGCTATTTGCCAACTATTGAGGAAAGATGAATGGAGCCAAGTATAGAGCATCTCTGGAGGAAAACCTCCAGGAGACAGAGATGGAGGTTCACCTTCCAATAGGACATGGGACTCCAACTTACAGCTACCGGAAACACTGTCATAAAATCTGTCTTTTTATTGTCTTATATTTGAGCTTAAAGAGGAACTTCAATTAGTTTCAGCTGTTTTGGTGTTAATGAAATTAACAGGTGCACTAGATGGGCAACATTGAGACAACCCCCAAAACAGGAATGGTTTTACAGGTGGAGGCCACTGACATTTTTTTTCCTACTCATCTTTTCTGACTGTTTTTTTCTTACTAGATTTGCATTTGGCTAGGGTCAGTGTCACTACTGGTAGCATGAGGCGATACCTGGACCCTACAGAGGTTGCACAGGCAGTCCAACTCCACCAGGATGGCACATCAATACGTGCCATTGCCAGAAGGTTTGCTGCGTCTCCCAGCACAGGCTCAAGAGCACAGAGGAGATTCCAGGAGACAGGCAGTTACTATAGGAGAGCTGGACAGGGCTGTATAAGGTCCTTTACCCATCAGCAGGACCAGTATCTGCTTCCCATGTGCAAGGAGGTACAGGATGAGCACCAAAAAATAAAGATGACATCTCCAGCGTTCGGAGACCTAGATCTGGAATAGGTGGATTAATTGACCTCCGTGAAACTTGTCCACTAAGGGATCAAAGGTTGTGCAGCCCTTTGGTAAGGCTGGGGAAGCCTGAACAACACTGCCAATAAGAACAAAAGAAAGTGCACCAAACTTGCTCATTACCTTGGCAATAAAAGTATTTTATTAAAAGAAGATGTGTACTCACAAACGTAGCAATATAAAAAGTGTATAGTGTCCAAGAGTCTCCCTGCCAGTGGGATTTGCACGCTACTTGATCTCCTGTGATCCATCCTTGGACACTATATGCTTTTTGTATTGCTACTTTTGTGAGTACACATCTTATTTTAATAAAATCATCTTATTGCCGAGGTAATGTGCAAGGTTAGTGCACTTTCTTATGTTACGTACAGGGTGAGCACCACCAGAGCCCTACAAAATGACCTCCAGCAGGCCACTGGTGGGAATATCTCTGACCAATCAGAAACAGACTTCATGAGGGTGGCCTAAGGGCCCGACATCTTCTAGTGGGCCCTGTGCTCACTGCCCATTTGCCATTGAACAACAGAATTGACATGTCCGCCACTGGCGCACGGTGCTTTTAACAGATGAGAGCAGGTTCACCCTGAGCACATGTGACAGACGTGAAAGGTCTGGAGAAACCACGGAGAACGTTATGCTGCCTGTAACATTGTTCAGCATGATCATTTTGGTGGTGGGTCAGTGATGGTCTGGGAAGGCATATCCATGGAGGGACGCACAGAACTCCACAGGCTAGGCAATGGCACTCTGACTGCCATTAGGCTGACAGTGAGGCACTCAGATTTGTTCTCTGTCCTGCTGATGCAGTGTCCTAGGCCATGTCAGAGCATCAACCCCAACAGTTGCAACACTGTTCACTGAGTGTTGGGGCGGTGTTGATTAAAGTTCTGGATGGCAGATAGTTTTCTTTCAGATCTGCTTGTCTGCCTACATCAGTTGAGCTGTTGGGTGGGTGGAGCCTGATGGATGGATTATGTTTAGACATTAGTTCCCCAGGTCTGCAACCCCCCACCCCTCCCCTTAGACTGACAGTGGGCAGTGCCTGTTTGATGATACTGAGACTAATTTCCTATCAGGTTCACCATCTTTGTGATTGACAGTGAATGGTGGTCAGCAGATTTCATAACCACTAGCAGGCCAACAGTTTTGATGCTTGGTGTTGGGTGTGATAGTTCAGGGCGGAGCCTGAGAGATGATGGTTGAATGTTAGTTCCCCATCAGGTCTTGTACCCTTTGGTGTGATAACGGACCTGAGGCCCTGATTCTTATTGGTGGTTCATGTGATCATATTTGAGACTAAGTCTGATGAGTGATATTAAGATATTAGTTTCCCATCATGTCCACTCTCCATCTGAATAATAGTGGGTTTGCAGTTCACCATGAAGTCTACCATTTGGTTGATTGACAACTTTGTGGGTGTGCTTTGAAAGTTGCAATATAAGTAGACTTTTGTGTATCATTTAGGTGTGGAAGTTAGTTAATGCTTGGATTGCTGGAAGATTCATTACTCTCCATTTTTGGTGGCGGGGTTCTTTCATGAAACAATTATCCTTCTATTCTTAAAATATTTCTGTCTCTTCCATGTTTTTCCTCCACACAATTTGTGAATAGCTAGTGGCTATGGGAACAAAGCTTTAGAACAGGTAACAGGGCTGTTGTCAACCTGTGATGATATTAAGGCTTTAGATATGGCTACTGGAGAAGAGACTTCCCTAATCGCTAAAGTAAAGAAGATGTTAACT